GGAGCTGGGCAGGAAGAGGTAGGCCCGCCGGGGCCCTCCCGCCAGGAGCCGGGGGAGCTGGGACCCGGGAAGCGCCGCTTGGGGAGGGGGCGGGTCGGCTGAAGGTGGAGGACGGAGGCTTCCCTCGGAGCCCGGAGAGGGGAAGGGAGCTCGTGGGAGGCTGAAAAAATCCCCTGCAAAAGGTCTCACGAAGATCTTCTCCTCCCCGCGGCCTGCCCCGTGACGTTCCCCCCTCCGCCCTTACGTTAAAGGTCTGGCCGGAGGCTGTGCTCCGCAGCGCCCAGCCTGCTGGCCTAAAAACGTTCCGACACCGCGGTGCTCGTGACAAGCTCCGCTGTTTGTCACTCGTTCCGTTTTATATCTCTGTGTTTCTTCTTCCTCTCATCGTCTCTTCCGCCCTAAAGCGGTTATGTACACACTAGCTGCTTTCCGCGTCAGCCGCTTCCTGCAGCTCCGTGTACGCGGAGCTCTTAGAGGGGCTCGTCCCAGATGTTTTAGCTTTGTTTCTCTGCGCGTTCCCGTTTGTGCGTGGAAGGGCTTCAGCCTGTTCCTGAATCCGGTTCCAGTCTAACGCGCTGTTTCTATTGTTAGATTATCTAGAAGGAGGAATAGCAGTCTCAAACTGGTACCCGCCACGCGATATTCTCAACGACTCCGAAATAAAGAAAACCTGGAGCTAGTCAGGGCTGAGGCCAAAGAAGTCTCTCCGCCTCGACGTGTGACAAGATCCCAGACTGCAACATCTGCTAGAAGCTCCGAGGTCTGTCCTGAGACCCCTCCTGTCCAGCAAGTAGAAGGGAAGGTTCCCTTAGCAGAAGCTGATGTCAGTGATCACGTTAGCGCTGAGATGCACCTCCAGAAGAGTGCATCTAAACCATCAGAGAAGCTCTTCGCGACCATCCTCTTGAGCTCAGATGATGGTTCTCCCAAGGAAAGCAGGGTTGCCAAATTGCCGCCTGTGCCTGCAGCCTCTGAGCTGATGGTCCCTTGCACCCCCGAGGCAGACGATGCAGGAGAAAGCGAGGCTGCGTCTAAGCCGAAAACAGGAAAGGCAGCTAATACTACAGTCATTTTAAGTGAAGAGCCTAGGCTGGAGGAGGTAGATGACTCTGCTCAGGTGCAAGAGGGGTCTGATAAGGAGCCTTCCCAGCGCATAAGGGATAGCCCAGGGACTCCGACAGGCTGTAGGCTGAGCCGTCGCTCAGTGCGCAGGAGTCTGATGGGTAAAACGTCCATGACTCGCAGAACCTCCTTGGCAGAGAAATACTCACTAGCCAGCAAGAGGGAAAGTATGATCAGGAAATCTATCACCAGGACAACGGTCAAGAGGAAGGCAGCTCGAAAGTCATCTGTGTCCTCCAGTTGCATGGATGGTAAGTTTGAATGTCACCAGATGAGTTTGCTTGGCACCATTCCCCCTCTTTTTGTTGAAGTAAAACAACGTTATGGGGCTAGTTCTTCAGTTTGGGTGCAGCAGCTGATCTTCCTAGGCTAGACAAGCTGCAGTTAAGCATGGATGTTCTAACTGGCTTTCTAGAGACCTACGTGAATAGAGAAACCCAGGCGACCGTGCTAGTTTGTGGCCTATGAATTCAGCCTTGTAAATCAACTGGGAGAACAGCCTTAATGTCTTCTGAGCTTCTGTGGTGGTAGCTTGCAAAGTTAAAGAGGAAGCTGGCAAACGGGGCTTGTTGCTGCTGGCGGCTGCTTGAGAGGATTGTGGGCTCTCACAAAGGCCTGCATGTTTTCTGGGAAATGAGGTAGCTATCACAAATTCACCGCTCTTTAAACAGAATCTGGTTCTAGCTGGTTCTAGAGCTCCTCTTTTGAGAAGGGAATTTTGAGGCTGAACTTTGTAAAGTTGTTAAAAGTCTTCCAAACTTTTACAGTTTGCGATAGAGGCAGGTTTCAGTGAGGGACAAACTGATTTAAATGTTCTTCCGTGCTACTGGAATGCAAGCATTGGATTTAGTGCAGGAGAACAAAGTGATGGATATAACCTCTCTTCTTTTTCAAGCTGAGGGAAAGAAGCGGCTAGTAAGTGGTGGACTAGTAAATGGCTCCTGAAATGCAGGTGATGCAAGAGAACCTCTTCCATGCAATTTGATGTTGAGGAGAGACTGGCTCTTTTGCAAAGCGTGCTGCTTTGTTTGAAGGGAGAACTAATACAGCTGAAGTAACATTACTGTAATGCGTTCATCTGCAGTGTTCTAGCTATGTGGGATTTGTGCTGTGTAACACTGGCTTTTCTTGAGGAGTTATCCCGTTTTGGCTGTAGGATATATTTGGAGAAGCACTTCAGTGTTTTTTTTCCATACCAATTTAACTGTTGAATGTTTTTCCAGAAACAGAGCGCTGCAGTCCCCAGTACAGGGTTTCCTGTGCTGGTAACAGGGTAGTGCCGAGTTCTGTGTAAGTTTAGAAGTGCGGTGTTGAGGGCTCCCTCAGTGAAAAATGGAACCGTAGGGAAGTCTTCTCATTTGTGCTTTTGAAGAGGCACTGAAGTGGCTTTATCTACCCAGTTTAAGTGATCAATCTGTATTGTCCGATGTGGATTACCGTTTAAGTGATCAATCTGTATTGTCCGATGTGGATTACCTGGGAGGTTTAAGGGAGGCTTTGTTTCTCCCCTCTGCACTACTTGACACAATTTCCAGGTCAAAGTTTCCAGGTGTAAGGGGAGGAACTGAGATGTTTCAGGCAGCTCCAGCTGAGCTCGTTAATGCTTGAAAGCCCAAAGCACCTTAATCGACTGCAGAGTGTGTGCGCTGTGTCTGATGCATCAGGTCTTGCACGGGGTATGTGTACAGCACGTGTGTTTGTGCTTCCTTCGATAACATCTGCAATGGAAGTACGGGAGCAGACCGCACGCTCTGACTGTGCAAAGTCTGCCCTTGTGTACTCCACTCAGGCTCAAGCTGCATCGCCTTCTTAATTATTAACAGCAGTTTCCGTCTGTGCTGGTACTTAAAAGCTAGCTACTGTGGAGCCAGCTGGAATGCTTAGCAGGATGCAGCACTCTGACTGTAAATAATGCTGGTTTTAACTACTGCTGGTATCTGGACGTGGCCCTGCAAAATGAGTCTAAGCCCAAACCTAGTCACTCTTAATGTAAGCCCATTGAATATCACTTTGAACTCATCTATAATTGAAAACATCTGTTTTCTTACATTAAAATTGCAGGCGGCATTTTCTCCGGTGCTACTTAGGTATATTCAGCTGCCCTTCCTGGTAGCAGCATGCGTTTGAATTGCAGGCAGTAACCCAGGAGGCAGAGCAAATGCCTCTACAACAGTCTTGAGTGAACTTCGCTCCTAGGAAGAGCCTTGGCCTGCACCTGTATGTTACAGCTCTGGCATCTTTTTCTTTTCCTGCAGTCTCCAGCTCTGGAGAGGTGCCAGAGGATGAAGAAACAGTTCTCAAAACTGGGTGAGACTACTTTAAGATACTTCTTTATCCTTAATATCCTGCTTGGAGGATTTTTTTACAGTGTTGTTCTTGGTATAAAATGCACCGCTCGCAGAGAACAAGTTGCTTCCCAGTTTCCTTGCTGTTATTAAACATGGCTGCCTTTTTTCTGTTTTTTCCCCCCCCAGGCCTCCTCCTGGACCTTGTACCCCCTCCAAGTTGGTAAGATTTGAGCAGAGATTAAAAGCATTTCTGTTTGTATGGACTTGTGAGCAAAACGTGTTGAAGACACCTCTCATTTGTTACTGGGGAATTAGGGAGCTCTGGCCGCGGATCGCCGGACTCGGTCCACCTGCTGCGTAGCACTTGAGTAAAGGAGGCATGGAGCACTCAGCTCGCATGCGTGCACGAGCCTATCCATAGCCTCCCTCCTTCCGATACACAGGCTGGAGGAAGTCTGAGATTGTCAAGTCTGTTTTAACCACAATGTTCCAAAATCGGCAAAACAAAAACCGGTGAAGTTCTATTTGGAAAATGAGCACGTGTGACCCAAGGCTTATTTTGGATGCAAGTAGAGGTATTCTGTCAGTATGGTGTTACAATCTCAGATGCTTTCAAAGCCAAGGCTAGCTTTGGCTAGAAAATAGCATTCTCTCTCTGTCATTTTACATAAATATATTTAAATGTAAATGATGGGTTGATGCACACCAGTGCTGAATACCGACCTTGGTATCGCTGGCATTCAGAGTCGAGTCCTGCTTTCTGGCTCTTGCTTCTTAGCCTCTTGCTAGAGATCAGTTGTATGAAAATTCAATCCTGAATCTATACAGATAAATAACCTTCTTATTCAGTTGGACAGAGTTTGTACACTATTACTATTTCTGCATTTTTAAAGCTTCTTTTGACCTTTTAGTCCTGCAGATTATTCAAAGTTTGTCAGTTTGTCCTAAGACAACTACAGAAATTTGTAAATATCATTCAGGTCAAAACATATCCCTCCACAATTCTCGCTGCCCTCCTGAGGAAGAAATCCCAGGATTATGTCAGTGTTTTGTCCAGAATAATTTTCGATAAGCAAAGACTGAATTAATGGAGTAGATCTCTGTGGCCTTAAGCACTTCGGTAAGCAGGAACAGGCTCATACATGCTTTTATGGCTGCGCTTGTCAGCAGATCTGCAAAAGTTTGAATAGACTCAGTTTTTCTAATGCCTCTGGATTTTTAGCTTGCCTGAGTTACAATTGTAGAAAAGCTTAAAGGGAAAATGGGGAGAAGAGAAAAATGAACAGACTGCTTTGCAGATCTGTGAGTAGAGGACTCGTATCTTTTGTTTCTGTACCCTGATGAATTTATAAATACGGTCTAGTCCATGTAGTGTATTTGACCTACCCTTGATCCTCATCTTTTATTTCTATACCACTGCTGTTGGGAGTGGGACCTTGTAGCCTGTCCCATTCTTAGCCTATGTCACCAGGTTACCTTACCCTATCTATCTAACTATCTATCTATCTATCTATCTATCTATCTATCAGCAGTTTTCTCGGCAAACCAAACGTGGTTTGGTTTCTGCCAGAGCCTTCCTTTGGGAGCTGTGAGCAGCATGAAAACGCGGTGACTCGGCAACCTTCTCAAACCAGAAAATGTCTTTGTCTGTAGGAACGTATAAAGACAGTACCTGTAGGCATGCTGTTACTTAAAGGTCAGATTCTTCTCGGGCCTGGCCTCGAATTAATTAAATCTGTGTCCTTCTGTTGGGCTGCAAGATGCTTCTTGTACCGAGCCGTAGGATAAGACTCTACAGAAGCATTAGGGGAGGATAAAGTTTCTGGACTTCTTTTTTCTTCTCTTCCCAACTCCTTTGTGTCTGCCAGCCTACACGCTGGCCAGCGTGGGTTTGGGGAGTGGAGTTAATGCTTCCATTGCTAGCAGAGTGCAGATTTCAAAAGCCATTGCCTGCTCTCTCGCAGGCATATGAAACCATTACCACAACAGAATTTTTTATCAGTATAAGTGCAAAGGCAGCAAACAGCAATGCATATCACATCCACAACAGAAACACGTAAGTCAAGGAAATGAGCTGTTTGTCTTTGCTGTCTCCCTGTTTGTCCATTCATCACTGCTAAGTAAAATGAGTGCTGCCTGACTCTGCCAGAAGTCCAGCAAGCATAAACAGATTTCCAACTTGAAATGTTTTTGTCCTTAATAGTTCATGAGTTTGTTCAGTTTGAGCAGTCAATCCCTCATTGCAGATACTTGTGTTCTGTTAACTTGTGCTTCTAGTGATGACACGACATCACGGAATTTACCAAGATGGTGTCCCGAGGTATTTTTCACAGCTGGAGGTTAGGACTTCACGCTGGGTACTGGCCCCAATACTTTATACTATGCATGCGGTTTTGCATTCTCTGGTAATATTGCAGGCAGTGTCCTTGTCAGAATGACATCACGATTTGAAACAGTAATTGGCTGTTTCCGTGTGAAAATGGTGCTGAAACTCATTTGCTTTTCCTACAGAATCCCCAAAGTCCACAAATGTCACTTCGCTCTCGAACCGTCAGCAGAAATGAAGAGCCGCAGGAGACAAGCAACAACGGTAGCTTCCAGAGGATTTTTGTGGCAGAATTTTAAAAAGTCATCACTTTGTTGGGAGGCTGACTGGGCAGTTTGAAAGATTGTCTAGTTCATTGGAGAGCCCAGTTTGAAAGACTAATCTAATCTTTGACAAGCGAGGATTTGTTTCAAGAGACGAGCAGTTAGGAAATTCTGTGCTGGAGTTATTTTCCACGCTGGGAAGCGCGTGGAAATGAAGGCGGAGGGGTGCATGCTCTCCAGGTTATGGGAGGCCTAGCTGAACCCCGTTTCTGAAGCAAGCAGTTGCTCTGTGTCTGTGCAGAACACAATAGCATTGCATTAGTGCAAACTGCATGCCACAGATTACTTCAGAGAGCTTTGCTTTATTTTGTATTTCTAGGTTTGAATGGCGCTGCGCGGTTGCTTGCTGAAAGCAAGAAAGGTCCTGCCGTGCGTAATTCATGGCAGGTTTTTTTGCTGTTTAGTGAGCTGCTAAATCTGTTGTCTGCTTTCAAAGTTGTGTTGGAAGGGATTTTTTTTTTTTCTGCTAGAACTAACCGTGTAACTATGCTTTCTTTCAGAAAACAACTTAAATAAGAACGGGGAGACCCAGGAGCCACCCCAGAGTGCCAGGTATGTTCGTAGAATCATTCTGCTTGGAAGGTGCCTCTGGAGATCTGTAGTCCGGTTCAAAGCAGGTTCAACGCTGCAACATTATTAAATGGCTTCAGTGTTTTGTGACTATGAAACTTTTGCAATAAGTTTTCTCTGCCTCTATGAAAAGAGAATTTAATTTTAATCTTCTATCACATTAGAAATTTTTTATTGGATATCTACTTGTGTATACACAATGAAATATCTTTTAAGCTAGGATAGTTTTATGACATTTTTAAACCTGACTTTGAGACAATCAGGAGGATTTGCCATGTATGATGGACTATATTTTTCTCACAGGAGAAAGCCAAGTTACAAAAGAGCTGTGGATGAACGCTATGACAACCAGCAAGCAGAAGATGGAGGGCTTTCTCCTCCGAGAAGAAAGACCCCATCCCCTACCTTTCCAGCCAGCAAAGTAAGATCCTTGTAACCCTGATGTACTTTACCAAGACCTGTTTCTTACTCACGCTCCTGAGAATTGTTTTTGGCATTCCCCTCATAGGTTGTACGTCCTTTCAAAACATTTTTGCACACTGTGCAGAAGAACCAGCTCCTCATGACGCCAAGCTCTGTGGGGAGAAATGGAGTAATAAAATCTTTTATCAGGTACAACACTCCTCTCCAATCTGATCCCAAGGTAAGACGAGACTGTTGTAAGCTAGTATGTGATGGTCTGATGGGTGTTTAAGTTAAAGCACAGATGTGAAAAACTTTTCAACCCATATTAAACTAAGAAGTAACTTTAAGCTGTCTGTTTACACTTACATAAACTAAATAAAATTGTGATTAGTCAGCTTCTTAAAGAGTTCTAATTTGGACTCTAAGCTTTATTACTGTAGCATTCCCCTGTGGTATTAGCAAGTAACAGTTGGGAAGGAAAACTGGGAAACGAAAATCAAGGGGATTTTGAATACTGCAGATGAGGTGTGTGTATATATATCTGAAACCTGCACATCCAAAGTCTCCTTTCTAGGACTTTTCTAATGAGTGAGAGCTGAGCAAATGCGTCTTAAATCCAAACTTCTGATGTTCTGAGGTTTTTCGGACCTTTGAAGCAGGAAGAAACATGAGGCTGTCCTGAATAGGAGACTGCTGGGTCAGTGAGACAAGTATGCCAGTGTCCAAATCTAATAAGCATCAATATCAACGTAGTATAATTGTCGCAACCAGCAAAGACACATGACACACCTTTGCTGTTTGCAGGAAGATGCCCCTACCTATGCAATACCACCGTGAAGTTTACAGCAGCACAGGGGAAGCTCCTGTACCCCAAACAGAGTAGTTGTTTGGGTGGATGGGATCTGAGAAGATCTCGTTCTAGATTTCCAAAGGGAGTTGCTTTTCCCTGTGTTCTGCTTAACACAGGACAGTTTGGTCATAAATCATGATTATTTAATTACACGGGCTGGACTTGCAGTAGGAATACTACCTGCATCGCTGATGGGCAGCCCTCACTCTTACCTGATCTGCATTTAGATTTGGTATTTAACTCGGAAGAGAAGTCAGTGTTCAAGGAAAAGCAGGTTTCAATCAGCGTGCTGTAGTTCCTATTCCATAGCGCTCTGACAGTGTCAGGCAAGTACAAGGGTGTAGCTTCATGGATGCACCTAGGGACGTGCTAGAAGCTGGCGTGCCGAGCATAGACTGCTCATACTTCAAAATAATGTAGTTCTAGGGCTTGTTTTCACTTGCAGGAGAGTTGGGGAGGGAGAGGAGGGCATACTGCAGAAACTGGTTTTCCTGCATCTAGCTTATATCTGGCAACCTAATATCAGAACTTCTTTGTATTGCTTAAAGCTGTCACGGTTGTGCTGCTTAGAGAGTCTTTCTGTGCTCCAGCAGATAAGAGAAGTCTATCATTAGGAATTAGCGAAGGATTCGAGCTTCAGTCTCACTGGTGTTCCTGCTGACGTTAGTGTCTGTACTGACAAAGGAGCTAATATGATGAGAAAAGAGTCTTCTGACTAGTGCATCCTTTGTTGCTGTCAGTTCATTGAACGTTATATTTTAGGTTTTCATTCCAGTGCGGGCAACTTCTCTTCAGGACTTTTTCCGTGTGGGGGCTAAACATAACTAAATATCACCAGAGCAATAAGATATAATCATTAGTTTTAAATTAGCCAGTTTGGATACTAATAACACCAATCACTTACAACATGGAGCCCAGCATAAGGTAATCACTTCAATTTTTCACCGTGCTTATCAATGAGTTTGTACTAAGACCAGGCCTGACATAATTAGGCATCTGCAGTATCAAATCTGGCATTAAATTAGTTTATCTTAATCTGTTTGCTGTGACTGTAGTGATGGCTGGATCTTGCTCTTCTAACTGACAGTATACTTAGGCTGAGTTAGCTGGGCTGTTCAGAAAAATGAGAAGAATGCACTGCATTTCTGTCTAGATGACATATGGGGCTGACTGTGTGCTTGAATCAAGCTGTAAGCACTCTGTCTAAATGGTGGTGGTTTACCGTGAGATAAAGCTTTGTGGGAAGCAAAGATGCCAGTGGGAGTTCTGAGTTGAAGTAAGCAAGGTGTTTCCTAGAGCACCATCTGTCCCCTACACTCGCTGCAGGAAGTTAGTATCACTGCCAAGCATTAGCACTGCTTTTTTGGTTCTTTTTACCAACATAAATCACAGTGCTGTCTGTCTGCAATCTCTGCGGAAGCTGCCTGGACTTCAGGAGCTGGTGCTTCTGTTTCAACTTCCCAGCTTCTTCTCTTGCTCTCTAAGGTTAACGCCACTGCCTTGTTTTCCATCGCGTCTGTTCTCAAACATCCATGACTACATCACAGGCTACCTGAGCTCTGTTTCAGGGTTGTTACCATCCCTTGGTTCTGGCTGCAGTTCCCTGGTGTTATCTCTGGGCCCTCACTTAACCTGAGCAAGGTGAGGTAGAAGGAAGCCCTGGCAGGTGGGTATAATCATTTCAATCCATCTCAGGAAAAGGAGAGACAGAAGCTAGAGACTCTGAGGAAAAAGCAAGAAGCCGAGCAGCTGAGAAAACAAAAACTGGAGGAAGAAAAGAAACGGCGACTAGAAGAGGCAAAGCTGTGAGTATATGCTTTCTGCCTTGTCTGGAGTGCTCTCTCTGTGCCTGTAGGTCCCTATATCTAGATCTTTTATCTTGCAGAGTCCGTACATGCAGCAAAAATTCTTGTCGGCTTGCTCTCACACTGCAAAGACAGTATTTGTTCTCATAGTATCTGTCTAAAATGCTAATAGAAAGTTAAATATCCTAGCTGACTGCTTCTTCAGCTTTTCGTCTTAAGTCCTCTGTCACAGGTGGAGCTTAAAAATATTGCTAATGTTTAAATGAATGGTGTATTTGGTTTATTGAATTTCATGCTGCCCAAGAGCTGTCTGTTGGCCTTGTGTTTGAGTTGTAAGGAACTCATCTAGCTGGACTACAATGATAAAGTTGCCCTGTGTCCTATAGGAAGCGTGAGGAGCGTCTGCGCAAAGTCTTGCAAGCTCGGGAACGGGCAGAGCAAATAGAGGAAGAGAGGAAAAGGCGCATTGAGCAGAAGATAGCTCTGTTTGATGAGAAGACTGAGAAGGTAAGGCCCAATATACCTATAGAGTTTATTTGGGAGAATAAATAATCTATTGAGGTAAATGATGCCACACGAGTGTGCCTTCCAGAAAGAGAGGAACTGAGGCTGCTTGAAATCTAGAGAACAAACTGGAGAACAGTTGAATAAAGAACTTTCCAGAAATTTGGCGATTCTGAGTGACTGCCCTTCTCTTGGTTACAGCAAATGGCAGACGAAAACATTTATTTTCCAGAATTATGAATCTAAATGGGCTATATTAAGGCTCTGTCAGATGGGAGAAGAACTTCAAGTAGATAAAGCCAGCCTAATGGCCCTGAGGCTTTATCTACTTGAAGTTGTTCTCCCATCTGACTAATAGATGAAGAGGTGAAGATAAACATACTTCCTCCAGACCCTTTCTTGTATCTGAGACTTTCAGACAATTTGCCCATGTGACCATAGCAGTCATTTGTCTGCTTCAATTACCTCCATCTGCTTTTCTTATTTCCTGGTTCTGAGAATATATTCTGATGGCTTTTGTGGTATTAGATGTATAAATACCAGAATAGGATCAGCTCTTCCTGTGGAGATGTAAAAGAAGGTCGTTTCCCTAAATATGACCTTTTTAAGATAAAGCACAGGTCCCGTTGGCTCCTGGTGGCAAAAAAGGAAGCTTTTGCCCTGTGAGAGGGTGGGAGCTCTGCATCTTTGAGACTTACTGCTATGATATTTCACATGCACGGAGAACTGCCCCACCTGAGACTTAGGTATTCAGCTGGCTGTGTGTGTGTCTTAGGTGCGGGAAGAAAGGTTGGCAGAAGAGAAGATCAAAAAGAAGGCAGCTGCCAAGAAAATGGAAGAAGCAGAGGCCCGGCGCAGGCATGATGAAGAGGCCAGAAAACAAAAAGCACTGCAGCAGGTCTGTGCTGGAGCCCGTCCTATCATCCTGCGTGCAATTAGAATGGCCGCAGTCTGCCACAGTCTTTGTAAGAAAGGAATCCAGCGGGAGTGCTAACACGAACCAACTGAAAATTAGTTTGTCCTTAAAGCTCTCTGCAGTGTTGTGCTTCCTGCTTCCTCCTGCAATATGCTGTAAGCTGTTAGCGGTGGTTGTGACCCACATTTCTTCTGTAGTTCTGGACAGATTCTTACTAAAGACCTTAATTTGTGGGTCGGCAAGTATTAAAATCTCTCAGTTAAACCTGTCTCTCGGAGATCCAGAGCATGGTGGCCATGAGGCCCTTTGGGGTACATTGTGGGCAGGGAGAGGCCAGCACTGAAATATCTGGAGAGATGATGCACGTACCTTGGAAGCACTGGGACTTTAGCCCAGAGTTGTTTCCCTGCTGTGTAGTGATAGGTGCTAGAGACTTCGGTCAAATAAGGTGTTTCTGCTCCTTTATTCTGGAGCCTGTTCCTGTACAATGTGAGTAATTGCCTTGTTGGGCTTACCAGGAGGAGGAGGAACGTCGGCACAAAGAGCTAATGCAGAAGAGGAAGGAAGAGGAGCAGGAACGTGCCAGGAAGATTGCTGAGCAGAGACAGGCAGAACAGGAGAGAGAGAAACAGCTGGCTGCAGAGAGAGAGCTGGAGAGGAAGAAGGAACAGGAGAGAATCCAGGCAGAAAAGTAAGACAATATCCATTTATGTACTAAATTCTGTGCCGGGACTTTGAAAAGCAACAGGAACAGAGGCACTAGTGAAAGGCTCCAGCAGTGAAGAGCTACTTTGTGCTGTCAGCACAACTCTGGACCATCATGGGTATTGAGCTGCCAAGAAGAAATTCTGGGCTCAATGTAGGAGGTGTGGTGGGGAGTGCCCTGAAAAGCTGTGAGAAAAAGAGGGGTTTGCAGCAGGCACTGAATGGGAGGGTACCTCTGTGTAGTTTTCAGAGTAATGGTCTGTTGCTTTGGTTCTCAGGCTACGTGAACAGCAGGAGAAGGCTGCTCGCCTGCAGAAGGAAGTGTTGGCTGCTAAAGAACAGCTCCGCAAGGAGATGGAGAAGAAAGAAGTAAGTACTCTCTTTTTGTAGATGCGTAGAGCCACATGGATCAGACTTCAGTAGCCATTACTGTTGGGAGCAGCTGAGCTGTGAAGCTATTAAGAACCCTGATGAGTGAGCTGTTGCACTTCTGTACTTGAGCCAGCCAAAGGTGCTTTTACCCAGAGCCTGTTCTCTGTCCGCTTCAGAAGGTATGCTTGCTCTCTTTAGGTGGCAGCAGTGCAAGAAGAAAGGACAGATAAGGCACACGTTGAATTCAAGTGAGGTTTTTGGCTTTTCCCCTTTCTGTGCCCAGGTGTATCTGTACCTCTCTTGATATCAAACAATAATTAATCCCAGGCTTTTCAGAAGGAACATCTCAGTTTTACATTTGTTGCACCTACAGCAGAACCACAGTAGACTTAATCAGGTTATTTTCTGCAATGGTCATGCCAGCATAGATTAACTAAGCAGGTGTTTTTGCTTGTGGTGTTGAAGAAGGACCTTTTGATGCCTTGGCAGTCCATGCTATTTGAATAAAGCAACTGCAGCTGGATAGGCTCAGGTTTTTGCTTAACTGGCAGCATGCATTTTCACTGGAGCAGAGATAAAGCCCACAGGTGTTGTTCAGGTAGCGTTTGGAATGTCCCTTCTCAAGGATTTGCACAAAATAATTGCTGGGAATTGGTAGCAAACCCTTTGCTGTTTGGACGGTTGCTTTTTGGTTTATATAAGATCTGGGGCAACTTGCACTTTCAAGACGATTTGTGAGAAAGAACAGAAGGTTGGACTAGATGATTGGAAATTGTCCAGCGTTTGCCTGAAATCATTGTCACTCCACTTAGCAGAGCTGTGGTATCAGCATGCTGACAGCAGTTGTCTAGCTGCCTTCAGGGAGCTGAAGTCCTTGGTGGGGATCCCTGCGTGCCCAGCAAGCTCCTCACCCTGTCAGTTAGCTTGGTGAAGTTGACAGGCAGTTGGTGGTAGGCCTGTGTACAACTTGTCCTGCCGTTAGGACTGGGTGGGGTTTATTTCACTTGATTTTAGATGTCTGCTGTTTGAGTTAGCAGCCTCTTGGTTTCCTTTAGATCCCGTAGGAAAAACTAAGCATTCACGGGGTGAGATTCTTTTGACCTGTTTGGGACGGTTACTGTACAATGGGGTCACTTGGCCTCTAAAAGTACTGTTTATTAGTCTAAAGAGGGGCTAAGATCAGTAGCACAGACTTTTCCATCTGCAAATGGTCAGCTGGTTTCTGATGTTTATACCCTAAAGATAAAGTCAGTAGCAAGTTTTTCAAAGCATGAGGTCATTGCATTATCAGAGGAGGGCAACTAATGCTTTTAAGCAGGAAGGTCAGTTTGTTTGTGCCACTTTGTGAGGAAAGCTCAAACTGTTCACTGTCTGCACTGTGTTCAAAGGGCTCCTTAGCATCACAAGTAACAAAGACTTGCAATTAGATGCTTAGATATTTTTTTTTTGCATATCAAAAAAATGGAACCCTGGATTAACAGCGTAGCTTAGTTCATAAGATTAATTCATTTGTGATGTCGGCTTGCCAGCAGGAGCAGAGGCTAGCAGAGATGAAGAGGCAGGAGCAAGAACAGAAGAAACTGCCAGAGGAACAAAAGGCTAAAGATATAGCCCAAACACAGCACCTAGAAAACAAAGAGGTAATTCTGCTCTCTCTGGTGACATTTCTTTAAGGGTTGACATCAGAGAACTTTGATTCCAGCACTGACATGCTGTTACAATGGGCAGTTTTACCCTCTGCTTTTTATATTCCCTTTCAATAATGAAGGGATTCTGTAAACTTTTTTTCCTGGTTATCTGAGGTTGATTCCTGGTGGCCTTGAGTATTTAATTGACTTTTGGGGAGTGAAAAGGAGGGAAGGGAAGTGGCAGGTATTTGCCAGGATTTTCTTGTTGTCAGGATAAGGCAGTGGCTGTTAAAGTAGCTTTGCCTTTCTAAGCTCTTTAAACACTGGATGAACCTCACAGGCAGCAGCGATGCCGAAATAGTGTTATTTAAGTTCAAAGTTGGAAACAGCCACAGGATGGCAGCAGAGTCTGTGGAGTAGTATTGCATTTGTACCTCACTACCCATGGAACTTGAGGAGATCCTGGAGGTGAGGTACGTCTTGAACATTGAAGACAAATATATGGATCTTTATCTCCTTCCAAAGCTACATATTTTAATCTTTAAATGCAAAACCAGTGAAATAAGAGTTAATGTTAATGGACACAAAGCCACGAAGGCAGCCTCTTATGGGGAAAAAAAAAAATCTGTTTCCAGCTCTTTAGAGATACTTGTCCCTCTAGTTAAGGACCGACTTACGTTTCATGGCTGGTGAAATTTGCAGTTTTAAGTTTTTCTTCATCACTTGCATTTTCCTTAGTCATGCTGTTCCCATCAAAATAACAATACAGTTTGTCCTGAGCTGATACGTGTGTATTCTCTACAAGGTAATATTCAGTTTAATATTATTAAACAAGCCCAGAAGTTTGGTTGCAGCATATTTAAAGCACATTACTCAGCTCCAGCTTTGAGGATGTAACAACTCCGTTTAAGCCTTGCTTGAATTGAGCAGAACTGCTGTATCTATATTAGATGCAGGTATTGCTGGCTTGTTCATGCCATAATAGCCAATTAAGCAGCCTAATTAAACAGGAGAAGGCAATGCAAAGTTGTAATTGGGTCAAAACTTTAGAACTGCCAGACTTCAGGTTTTGCAGTTATACAGTAAAGCAAGAGGTGTAATATTGAGGTATTCTGGCCTACAAGTGTCTCACTGTGGCTCGGAAGCGTAGCAGTGCTATTGCATCTAACGCCTGGGGAATATATTTGTCTTCTAGAATTCACCTGCCTGCAATTCATACCAGATGACTCCACAGGCTCACAAAGAGCCAAAGCCCCCCATGATAAATCCAAACAACTATGGACTGGATCTGAACAGCGATGACTCTACTGATGATGAAAGCCAGCCTCGCAAGCCCGGACCTGCCTGGGCCACTGGTATGTGTTAGCAGGTTGAAATCTGTCCTGAGAGCCCTCAGCAAACCCTACTGCAGCTTTGACGACCTGGTTGTAAGATTTTGCCCAGTTCCTCCTACTTGCACGCTGCAGTTAAAAGTACTAACCTCTAGCCGTGTGGCACGAGTGCTTCTCTACCACTTGGGGAGCTTCATGGGACAATATTGGGGAACAATACTCTTTTAAACTGCCTTAACAGAGCTGCTAGTGTCATTTTGCCAGTGTGAATGGAGTAATTATGAACTAGTGCTCTGGCCTTGAGCCTGCTTGACATTGATTTATCTTTAAAAAGCAAAGTAATGCCAGATGTCACGGGCTAGGCTCCAGACCGGCAGCTGTTCTGGTTCTGAAATACTCAGTTCCATAATTTCGTATTCCGCCTGCCCCAGGGGAGCTAAGAAGTTGCGGGGAAACTAATGGAATCTGCAGGAAGAAAAGCTGAGAAACCTTGCCTCTTGCAAACTTATTCTAGTTCCTGGACAGAATTCAGTACACGCAATATTCGCCCTCCAAGTGATCTATGCTGAAGCTTTAGGCTTAAACAGGGTGGTTTAAAACATCAAGTACTGCAGGATTTCTCCCATTTGTGATCCTCGGTGTGATTAGAGATGAGGAGGGCAGGGACACATTGCATACAAACAGCCTACACAGCAATTTCAATTAAAAAAAAAATTAATGAATACTTAATCTTTTGTTTCTGCAGGGAGTCAGCTTAGCCAAGCTGTAGTCCACCAGTACTACAACCCTCCCAATGTCGACGCGCTCTTTGGGGTGATCGCAAGCCCCAAGCTGGAGGACATCTTTTACAAAAGTAAACCGCGCTACTTCAAGCGCACAAGCTCTGCTGTGTGGAGTTCCCCGCCGTTTCCAGGTGCCAAATCGGTTCTAGGTCTGCCATACAGCCTGAAAAAGTACTGAGGTGGGCAGTGGCTGTTTCTTGTGGAGCAGTGGGTATGCATGTCTGTCTCTCTAGGTGAGAAGAGAGTTACTGTTCAGTAACTGTAAATCTACTGGTAAATCTACTAATCTAAAGGTATTAGCATTGAATAAATGTCAGCTCTTACTGGGCCTCTTGCATTTTCTGTTTTCGGGGCTTATTTTCTCACTGTTAGGCAAAACAGCAAGCTTTTGGGAGATACTGCCTTGGAAAGATGCATCTCCTTTTACCCTTAGCTTTAAGCTGGCAAAGATTTAGACCTTTAGGTCATGAGAGTGCATCGCCTAAAGCTATATGATCCTCCCCTCTTCGGCCAAGCAGGCCTGGTAGTAGCTGCCAGCTGTAGTTGAAAGTTGTATGTCTGTACTGTCCCTGCCCACCTCGTGGCTGAAGCCAGAGTACTTGTACAGCTAAGGACCACTGTGCACAGCTTGGGTAAAATCCAAGTGTGCACTACTGATGTTCTCCAGAAGCAAGTCACTAGCAGGTGTGGTCTTCATCATCTCCTGCACATTGCCAAATGATTTCCTTGTTTCATTTTTCAGTAATGCACTTCATCCCAACACCAAGTGCAATTATGCGCATAAGCTAGATTGGTACTAACATTACTACAGCTCGGGCTGAAATACCCTGAGGATTTTATTGACCTTTCTTCAGTTGTTGGAGGGAGCTCTGACCCTCGCTGTAATCGTGTCTCCAGGAATACCCAGAGTAGCATAAGCAGGCTTTGTTGTTCTAGGCTTCGTCAAGAGAAATTGTAGAAAGGTTCTGATAGAATTTTGTTTCTCTAATTTAAATTCCATGTCTGTGGTATAGATTGGATTGAAAGAATGAGTTTAACCTTGATCCCTATCTTTCTCTCTTCTCCCCTTGTCTGTTTTATTTGTTCAGCATCAAAGCTGGTTTTATTTCTAGGCCTGTTTTGCACTTCATATTCAATAAGGCAGTGTCAAACGGACTGTTATCAAAACAATTTCCTCTTAACAGCAAAATATCAACTCAGAATTTCAGTTCCAAGAGCACTTGGTGTTCTGGGCATTCTTTCTACACCTAACTTGCAAATGGCAGACACACTTGTTTTTTCTCTATAACAAGCTCCTGCATAGAGAGAGTAGAGGTCTCAGCAGAACAGTCACTTACTGGAAGATTTTAAAGGAAACAGTTCCGTTAGTTTCTGTAGGTTGTTGTGGAAGTCTGCCTTCTGCAAATTAGGCAGTCTATATAGCTCTTACCTCAGATTCATCTTTTTCTTGCGGCTTGATTTGTTTTAAAGATGGGTGAGTGTTCATGGCTGCGATTTCAGTATGCAAAAGACTGAAGAACACAGTTTCTGCGTGCATACAACCCGGTTCTTTGAAAAAAGCCCACTGTACAGAGATTATACAGTGTGTAAGGAGACTTCTGCCTTTCCTTGTGCATATAGTTCATGAACTGTTTGCAAGCAAATGTCTTTAAAATGATGTGGGGTTTTATATTTAAATACATCAACTGCTAGATGCTATGCTATTGATCAGTGTTTATATCTGTGAGATGATTGTACTTTTTTAGATGCTCTGTAGATTGAGTTTTGTATCTTAGAATGAATGTAACCTTTTTGTAAGAAAGCTTGCTGAAACAGCAAAAACTTTAAAGTTGAGTGCTATTTGAATGTCTGATTTGTGACATTTATCAAACTGAAAATGACAGTTTGATAAAAGTGAGTTAAATCATCTCCTCTGGGCTTCTCTTCTGGACTCATCATAGCTTTTTGTTAGAAAAATCTACAGTATTCTGGAATCTGACGTTTTGGGTTGCTTTTTGCACTTAAGATAGGAATGTTCTGTCCATAACTCCTGCTACAGTGGGAAATATTTGTGCTTTGGTAACCCTGAAGAATTTGCTGACTAGTTTTACTTCCTTCTTTTGTTTCTGGAAACTGGAAGAGGGACAGTTTGGCACGATGATATATTCCCAGAAATCTTTACTAAGGAATACATGACTTGAATTGCTCTTGAACTAACCTTACATCCCTGTAATTCACTACTTGTATGACTTTAGAAAATACTCAGAATTGCTACCACCAGATGGAGCAGGAACTTCAGTCACAGTATACAACTGGAACACTGGTATTTAAAAACACTCAAACAAAAAAACCACAAGTAGAAATCCCAGGAAATTACAACCTCAAGACTTTAAGAAAGATATTTTCACTTTTGATTTCAGGCATTTCTCTTAATTTTTATTCCTGCTTGCGCAGGCAGCCTTTCCTGAGCTCTAAGTGCAGGTGCTTTCTGGTGCAGTCCGACTCTGGGTTTGTGCCTGACCCTGAGCTGGGCCTCCCTGGGGGTGCTGCTCTGGGTGGGTGTCCTGCCGGTGGGCTGAATTTCGGTAAATATTGCACAGGCAGATTTTGGAAGCTGCTCCTGAGTGAAGACGCTCTTAACCATAAAACCCCAGTTGTTTTGCTGTTGTCCAAGACAGACTCCTGGTTGCACGCAGAGATTATTCCGCCCCCCCGGCTCTGAATCAGCTCTTGTATTCTGTTGCCTGTTCTGACTTACAGAAAAGTTTGATAAAAGCACAGGTGACAGAATGGCAAGATCCACCTAACCTGTCACTGCAGCGAGTGCCCAGCAGATACCTAGTGAACATAAAGCAGTATTTCCCAAGTGAATGAACTTGGCCATCAGTAATTTGCAACACTTCATTTCCTTGGGGGGAAAAAGGAAGTAATCTGATATATATTGTCTTTTCTAGACCGATACAGTTTCCCTGGAGTCACAGAAAATATCTGGAGCCAAATGATACCAAACAAAAATGGGATCGCTACCACATGGTAAACTTGTGATCCTGTAAAGTTAGTTGAGGTCTCAAACCTAAAACTGCTCCAAGAAAGAACAAGTAAAAGCAAAGATGTTTCTTGATGAGAATATTAAAGGGCACGTTGTGCCTGGCTTTGGCTCGATGAACAAAAAGCTCTCCTGTACCTGAGGCTTTCCAGACACCACGTGTGCAGGTGACCTCCATTCTCACAGGTACCTGTGGGCAGGGATCTAGCAGTAATATGGTTGTGGTGCCTTTTCCAGCATGCCGGTTATCAGAGCACGGGCTGGGAAGACAGCAGCTGCGGGTCTGTCTGATAGGAGGACAGTAGAGCTCTGCGGGTC